CTTCGACTCTCCAGGCTTTCAATGGAAACTGTCTCTTTTGAAGGCTCAGTGAGGGTGGTACAGCGTTGGGAATCTGCAACTGAAGCTTTGCACGGCAGGGTCGAGGACAAGATCCTCTTGATGGAATTGAGGACTATTCCCTTTGGCCGTAACCAATGTCAGTGCTACACACGTGATGTCGGTAATGCAATCTATGTCTTTATGCGATACTTGCATTTTGTTTTATATTGTGTGTTAATAAGCATCAGCATCATCATCATCATCATCATAATCCTGATGTGCGCTTATCAGGGAACTGAATCTTCTTCGGCCAACTGCAAATGGAGAAAGGCCAAACACATATAAAGCGAGCAACACGAAAGGTACCTGACCTTTCTTTGTCAGGAGGTTTGTTGACCCTTTGTAGGAATAGGCTTTGAGAAATGAAAGGTTTTCAAAGAATCATAATCATCCAAGAAAGGAATTTGCAACACCACATTCTGCTAGCTTCGCTACTTCAATCTGCAAGATCATTAGTTGGCAAAAACTCACAGGCCACAAGCCACGGCCAAGCAGAAAGGGTTCAACTATATATGCGGTTGGCGCATGGTGAAGTTTGGGGTTGCAGATTGTCACCAGCTAAGCTGTTGAGCAAATGCACACATGCTTCTCCTCCGAGTACATTTGATGCCATCCAGTGATTTATGAGCTCTTGTGGTCTATTTCCTTCCTTACTCTACCGAATTGCAAGTGCCACCTTGTTGTGCGACAATGGCTTTAGACTGCTGGGCCATGGTGACCTTTCTGTTTGTTTTCCAGGTGACTGCAGCAGATTTGCCAGTCCCAACACCCGCTCAGGTGCGTTACCAGAGCACAGATTTTGTTGCGTTGATACACTTCAATATGGGTACCTTTGCTCATAATGGAGATCCTTGCTGCGACAAGAGCAATTGGGATGTAGTGGCCCCGTATGCAACTGGCAAGACCAGTGACCCAGCAACATTTGATCCAGAGAAGTTAAACACCACGCAGTGGATGGAGAGTGTGGCTGCTTTGGGTGCAAACATTGCAGTGCTGACGGCTAAGCACGGATGTGGCTTTGCTTTGTGGCCGACAAATTCCACCTTTCCAGATGGCAGCCCCTATGGCTATAACGTTGGTATGCCTGGTGCTGCTGTTCAAAAAGATGTATTACGAAGTTTTGTTGATTCTGCAAAAAACGCTGGTATCGGCTACGGATTCTACTACTCAATTATGAAGAACTTTTACCTTTGTCACAACTTTTTTGGGAATAATTCTTGCAAGCAGGAAGTTCTTCCCAGGCAAAGAAATGTGACAAATGACGACTACCTGCATGTGGCCAGACAGCAGGTGACAGAGCTTTGGACACAATATGGAAATCTTACACGGATCTGGGTTGACAGTGGGCTAGGTGGCTTGGGCAATCTGATGGGTGAACTGCAGCCTCAAGCTGCAGGAACACCCCAAAACCCTATCAATTGGTGTGGCACGGAGTCTGGACATCCCTCTCGTGATGTAGGGCCTGAAGATGTGTGGAACATGGGTCCTGGCTACTTTGGCGACCCAAACGCAAGTACCTGGACCCCCAAGTTTTGTGATCCACAACTTTTCCGAGAGCACATTTGGTTCTGGGAGCCCAACTTAGAGGTTCGGAACTTGTCAGAGATGATCCCAATTTATCATGATATTGTGGGAAGGGGTATGGTTATGGAATTGGCATTCTCAATTGATCGTGATGGGTTGGTGGAAGAAAGCCATGCTTTGGTGTATCGTCAGTTGGGAAATTGGGTGAGGAACTGCTATGGCTCACCTTTGGCAGTGACTTCTGGCACAGGTATTGTCTTCACACTGACCTTACAAGCTGGCCAAATCTTTGATCGAATTCAGATCCAGGAAAACATCGTGCTTGGACAGCGGGTGAGGAATTACACCCTGGAGCAGAGTCTGGAAAATGGTTGGAAGCCACTGGTGACAGCTAGTGCCATCGGCAGGAAGCGGATTCACGTCCTTGAGAGTGTGATTGAGGTGTTGGGAGAAACACATCTCCGACTTCGGATTGAACATGCCACTCAGTCACCGCAAATCAGTCAGTTTGCTGTGTTCTCACCGTGCAAGAAAGCAGCAGAACTACAGGACTTGAAAGTCTTCATTTAGCTTGAGCAAAGAGATGCATTTCTGGGAACCCTTGCGTTTTTTGCCCGGAAAGATTCCGAGACTTTGGCCGCAAAGCAGTTCACCTGCGAAGTGCGAGTTCTCAGATTCAGCAAACTTTTCCGAACGCAGGAGCTGGCTTTCAGGGTGCAGAAGAAGGTGCTACCAAAGTATGGCTTCCAAGGCCGCAAACGCAGAAACGGTCCAACTCTGAACCGAACACACACACACAAGCTGCCTTTTCTTTTGTCTCACCTTTCAGGTTCTCGAAGAGGAGTTGCAGAGATGATTCATGAGTGCAACAGGCCGAGAACGTTAGAACCATCCTTTCTGTGAGTGTTCGATTTGTACAGCTTCATGTGAAATTGGACAGGTATGCGAAGGACCAAGCCATATTGGACCTTCAGACTGAAATCAATGCAAAGCTTGGCATGGACCGGAACGCGTGGTGGACATGTCATCATAATCTGCTGGTGTAGATGTTGAAAGCCACGACTATGTTTTTTCTGGTGAGGATGCTAAAGGGCAGTGGTTTTGGTGCTGGAAAGCGTGAGGACATGAGTGGTCGTTGAAAGATGTCAAAGGCGCCATGTCATTTTGTTTGTCATTGGACTTTGTCAGTGACCTTGTCGAGGACCTTGTCCTCTTTTCTTGGTGCTTTGGCGCCCATTTGACCAGGCAGGTGACACGACACAAAGATGGGAAATTGCACAGCTTTGAATGGTATAAAGCCAAGTCCCTTTTGTTGTGTGCAGGTGACGTGCCAAGATCGCAGAATTGCATGCTCGGGCCACTGGGCGAGTGGTCAAATTCAGAAGCGTTTAGCCATTGCTTGTGAGAAACTGACTGTGTCGTTGGAGCCCTTCAGCATGTGAACCTGGGCCACCTAGTAGTTTCTCGCTACTAGCATCTTCTTGTTACTAGTAGCGATGGCCTCCAACCTAATAGCGATGGCCTCCACCCAATAGCGTCCTCGCTACTAGAGCATGTGAAGCTGGGCCACTAGAGCCCACACAATATGTTGGTGCACCTTGATTCCAGCTGAATGGTGGACTGGAATTGAGTTGCATTACCAGAAAACTGCAGCAAGTCTCGATAATGTTAGTGAAATGAATGATATGTTTTATGTCAATACTTATATGCTTTGTTAAATAAACATGAATAAACCTAATCAACCCTTTCTATAGCAGTGGCGACATGTAGCAAACCGTCGTGCCTGGTTCTGCATGTAGCAGCGCCTGTGCACCTTTTGAGGGTTTCCAATGCTATGCTGTGCTCCACTTGTGGCATGTTGCTCCCACCTAACCACTCTCACTATTCCCTGATGCCTGTCGTGTGCCACATCTGGAGTTTGGAGCTGTCTCACTGGACAAAGCACATGCAGTGTTTTCCAGGCTATGTTCCAGTCAAACACTTAAAACGCATGACGCATGACGCATACCGTTTGACATGACATGAACTTTTCTACCAAAAGGGTGGCTTGCTTCTTGGACTGGACAGAGGAGCCCTTTTTTTGAGCGCAAGTCCCAAGAACTTGGAGCTAGGACAGCTAGGATGTCCTTGGTGACTGTGAAATTTGGAGATGCGAATCCCAATTCCAGCTTTTGCTGCTGCTGCAGCGCCCATCTCCTCGTAGCGCTCCTGTGCTCATGGGATGTGCGTCTCTTCGGCAGGGACCCCAGCGGACCTATGGCCTCATCCTGTTGCCTTGGCAATTGTTCAAGTTCAGATTATTCAGACAGATATTCATGGAAGACACTCACAATATCTTACAATTTTGTTTATACAGCCTGTTCAGATAGCAACCTCTGATTGCCATCACCTAAGGCCTATGCACTTTCCAGGAGGTAATCCTGGCAGGGATGAGAGCAAGGAATCCCTCCCACTCCGGCCTTAGCCGGACACTTCCTCTGACCTTTGAAACGCAGAAATGATACCGACACCTGGGTGAAAGAAGACTTGGAAGAGCAAACAACATACTAGAATTGCGTATGAATTTCACCAAGAAAACTTGTCAGACGAATTCCTGGCATGCATCGAGTCAAACCCAGGGAGTGGCCAGGAGATGCCACATGAGTCGGCATGAAGTGTCGACCTGGGGGTTGTTGAGACATGAAATCGTTTCAGTGAGCAACCCACCACATCGGCATTTAGAACGCGTCTTGGCTGTTTTCACTTGGACTGTCTTGGTCCTCCAAAGACGTAGAAAACTGGCTGTTTTGCAGCTGCTTGTAGAGGTTTCACCAACTGTTGCTGTCCAGTTCGAACAGCATTCCAGCACTTGAAGCTTTGAAGACATTCTTTAGAGCCTTTCGAGTGTGCTGATGATGGAGCAAGAGGGCTTTCTGCCCGAGCCCATTTGCCTGCAAGATCTGAACAAAGGTAGATTTTACTTGTAGTGAACATGTCAAAGACTCGTTGGCCCAACAACACTGAAGGATGATAGCAACTGTTTTGTTCTTGAATTTCAATTGCTTTGACGACAAAAGATCTTGCAAGGGGCCAGGCACGCTGTGTACAGGTGCAAATGCCCAAGCATATTGACCTTGGATAACAGCACTTGAACAGCAAAAGAAAATGGAGCTACTACGAAAGATAGCGAAATTGGATTGGTTGCTGTGGTGAGTTTGTTGAGCGTTGATCTCTGACTCCAATTATTATTGTCCTGGTTTAGTTTTGCTTACGTTGGCACGTTGGAAACACAGGGATGGCTCTGAAAAAGCTTGCCCAGTAGCTGTAAAGAGAGAGTCCTACTGCAGAAACACAACCATCAAGCTTCCTACTACTGCTTCAAGAGTGTTTAGCTGCAAGTTATCATGTGATGTCATGATGTCGGCACTTTGTGTAGAGTGATCTCCAGTGAGCCACAGCTGGCCAGCAATGTCGTTGGATTGCGGTACATGTTTTCATGCGTTCATGTACCGTATCCTGATTGGTGCACAGAAAGCGGGCACTCCGAGAGATGATGGACCCTATGGTGCGACATGGAAGATATGAGTGCAGCTTGGCCAAAACACCAAAGAGGCAGCACAATTGAGTGTACCAATTGAGCCGAGAACCTGTGACATGTCACTCAAACCATCCAAGGCATCCATCATTGCAATTTGCGAAGAATTGGCGGATGCCAAGGGTCAAATTCCCATTTCACGCTTGGCGGATGCCATGCGTTTGCTCGGCATGAACCCCACAGACCAAGATGCTGCTCGTCCTGTATTCCCTTGAACAGAATCGATGCAAAGAGTAAGCCCATCCATAGCGTTTGTCCTGTCTTGTGATCGTTTTTTTTGGTTGCTTTGCCTCAATGTCAACCACAATTACCCGAAGTTGATGGCTCGTACAAGCTCCTTTATTGTTCGAAGTTTGTATTTTCGAAACTTTGTCAGATAGATACATACAAATACAAAGGTTGGAGTTCTGATTTACTCCAGTGCCAAGGTGGGAACTCTTCAGCGCAGAGCGCTCAGTGTACAGAGCATGCAGGACGACAATGAGGATGGACAGCTCGCATTGGACAGCTCGCAGTTTGGACGGCTCATGGAGGCTGAGCGTTTCTTTTTTGTATTGACCCTGCTTGTGTTGATCCTTTGATCCTTGATCAGTGTTCCAAGATTGGGACACAGTATGTCCACATTGAAACCCTCCGGAGCAAGTACCCCCTGATAGGATGCGCTGGCTCAATGGTTAGCTGCTGATCAAGCACAGCAATTGCTGCACGATTTCCAGGCCAAGTCTCCACATTCTTCATGCATGGTGCCTGTCAAGGAAGATTCTTCCTGTTACTGAGGTCTTTGACAAGGACCGCACTGGCAGGATGTCGACCCAAAAGCTTGTGGAGATTATGAAGATATCAGGAGCCCATCAAGTCATGAGCAAACTTCGATAGACAAGCAGAAAAGGGGTCCAACTCCACTTTGAAAGGGCGAAGAAACGCGATTTGTGCCTATGACCGTCTCTGGCCATTTGGAGCTTATCATTCTGTTGCGACATGCGAAGACCCGGTTTTATCGAACTGCTTCAGGGAACAGCTTCACTGAACTGGAACTGGAGGACAGGGGAAAGCGAGCGAGTTTGATAGGTTCTCACAGATCTCTTCTTCAATCTTCGATAAGTTGGTTTTGAGGAAGGGACTACTTTTGTAGGGAGCTGTCGAATCATGTTCTGCTTTATGTTTGGACTTGTTGCAGATTCTGCTGGGGCCAAAAGAATGAGCCTCGCGAATCTGGTGGTTCTTGTGTTTGCTGCCACAACAATATGACATGTGACTCTGATGAGCTCAAACTGTCATAGTCATATTCTCTCACCAGTACAGTGAGCTCGACCAGATTTTTGACCACTAATCCTTGACAAATAGACTGGTGGACATGAATGTGGACATGAACGTGACTTTTGGAAAAAGTCTCGTACGCAGTCCGGAGACTTGACGCTGGACTTTTGAAGTTCGGCTAAAATGTGCCTCTTGAAGGCTTGACGTGGCACTTTTAAAAGAAGTCTCGTACGAAAATGTGTAATGCAAGAGTGCTACAAGAGTGTCCTGCAAGGGTGTCCCACAAAAGCTCTCTTGTCATTCAAGAGTGTATGACAAGAATGTCTTACAAGAGCTTCCCACAAGAGTGTCCCGCAAGAGTGTCCTACAAGAGTGTTGCACAAGAGTGTTACACAAGAGCAGCTGGCTGACCATAGAAAATGGGGCCTTTTGTTTGGCCGTTTGTTTTTGCTTACTTGTGTGCTTTCAGGTTTGTGGGTTCCAGCTTGTTTGATTAAAAGCCCAAGGTTGCGCCGATTGCAGCTTCGGCCCACCACGCAATGTGCGAACTTTTACTGTAGGATGATTGACATTTTGAACTCTGGTCTCACTTACTTTCGACCAGCATATGCTGCCTTCAGAAATTCTTGAGACTTCCTTGGGGGCTTTAGTTCCGTCCTCCACCGTGGTGAGGAGATGTTGCTCAATTCAGGTGTGGAAGGCCAACACAGAGCACCAACAGCGATCCCATGATTTTCGAAAGCTTTGCTCGTTGCCATGCGTCAGGTGGCACTGTGGATTACAAGGACGTGGTTTACAAGCACTTTTTTGGAGCTCGGAGTCGGTCCGCCTTAGGCAACTTGCTTAATTGTGTTAAATGTGATTCCACAGCGAGTCCCCCCAAAACACAGTAGCTTAGATGACTTGTGAGAGGGCCCAGAAGAACTTGTGTTTTGAGGGCTTTGAAAGGAACTACAAGGTTTGATCTGTGGACCTTGTGCAGGCGACTGGGGCCTCCAACACCGGAAGCCTGACCCTCTGCAGGAGGGACCCTCCGTTTACCTCATACTCACGTACTGGTTGTCAGTCTGTCCTTGAGCTTGTGATTTACACAAGGAAAACAATATTATGTACATGCATTTGGTACCTTGGAGACTTGAATCTCAGGGTTCTGCTGTTTAGCGATGCTGCAAGGATGCTTCGGCTTTGCGTGAAGTGGCCAAAATGAAAGCTGATCGAGGTGGCGAGGGAGAGAGCTTCCGTGTCTGGGAAAGGTTTTTATTCATGCGGCAGGAATATGTATGAAAGCGACTTTAACATTTTTAACACACACACAGCCCACCACTCCCTGAAGGTAAGCTCCAGGCCGGTTTGCCGGGGTGCGCAGTTCTTGAGTCACCAGAGTGTTTTGTGAAGGATGCTCTGGGTCTATACAGAGACGCCTTAGTTTGCAGCCCAGCGTGCAGCTCCAATCAACCGGGTCTGGCCATATCTAGCTCCGACGAGGCTCTCTTGGATGGTCAAGCAGCTCATTCCACAGCAGCGGCCACGCTTCATGACATGGCGCGGCTGAAGGACAATTGTGATCCGAACATGTACTGTATTGCTACAGTTCTTTTTTTGCCACTTCCTGTTTTGTTTTTGATGCCAGGAAATGCTTGGAGAAGAACAAGAAGCTCTTTCGCTCTATTTGCGTGCTTTGGAGATCCGCGAAAAGGCTGGGAAAAGGTGCTTAATGAAGAAAAATGAGAGATGACACTGAAAGCTAAGGGGCCCCCCTTTAGAGGAGGGCTACCTCCTTTTCTCAACCCTTTTTATTCTTCAACCAAGTATAAAGTATAAAGTACAAAGGAACAAAAGGACACATATAGATTATATATATAGATATGTAATATCCTTTAATTCTTTGTAGGGTACTATTCTTTTTGATATCGAATCCTGCTTCAAAGTGCTCAACCACATTTGTGAGGTCTTGGGACCGAAGCATTTCTATGTGGCCACAACTTTGGATAGCATCGCAAATTTGCAAGACCGTATGGGTCAAGTGGCAGAAGCAACTTGGACTTCAAGAAGCAAACTGCAGAAGCAAGCTCTAATTTGAGCTGTAAAACATCCTTTTGGCGGTCAGCCATCTTTGTCTGTTCGTGACACTTTTCCTTTTCAGGCCTTGGATTTTGCCTGTCGCTCACTGTCAATCTGGGAGAGATTCTTTGGGCCTGAACATTCTCATGTGGCCAAGATCCTCTACAATCTCGCTGGGCGCAGAGATTTCGTGGGAGATCTTGCGGGATCTTTGGATTTCTACCAGCGAGCCTTGAGCATTTTCCAGCGAGTGAACGCGCGCAGTGAGGTGGCAGATGCGCTTGATGGCATTGCAGACTTGAAGTGGCGAAGCGGCGAAACAGATGAGGCTATTCTTCTCTACAACCGCAACTCCTTTGAGAATAGCCTTTGGTAGCCTTTGGTTCGTGTTTTTTTCTACAAGACACTGTAGTAACAATTTGTGAGTTGCTTGTTCTCAAACAGCATCTCCGAGTTGGAATGTCAGGAGAGTTGAGCATCCGAGAAGAGCTGCTGGGCGTGGAGCACCCTGAGGTAGTGGAGCTCCGGGAATTCATCGCTTCTCTTCACCCCTGAGCAGCCGGAGTTCCCGGTCTCGTGGGATCCACGCAGCCGGTCTCGATGGATCGACGGTACATCCTCATGTTGGAAGAGAGGACCTCGATGGTGTCATCCTCTTTCTGAAAGTCTCCGCTTCCCAGAGGTGGGAGGATCTCGATGCACTGAAGAGGAGGCCCAGCCGAGGGCGGAATCGAACCTCTTTGGACACTTTCAACCGACCAAGGGGGAAAAGATGCGGCATGCCATGTGTTCAGGTATAAATATATTCACACGACGATGCCTTCTACTTCAAGTGTTCCACGACGTAGAGACAAGTGTTTGCGATCATGCAACGTTGGAGTCACCTGTTCTGTACTGGTCTTCTTACCATTTTGGCTCGGGCTGGAAAGCTGAGTTGCACATAGCCGCTGGCAGCGAAGTTGCAGAGCAGATTTTGCGTCATACCTGTTGCTCCAGTTTCCCAGAGCTCATACATCTTCTTTCAAGTTGAGCTGTGGGATTTGGACAACCAGTCCTCTGACCTGAGGTTCCCGCCAGGATGACGGGCCCATCCGGCATGAATTTCAATCGCTGTGCACCGCCGAGACGGCGCAGCGCCGTGCCGCCGTCTCCAGGCACCGCCGCCGAGTCCAGGCCCAACAGGTCCAGGCCGCAGGCCCACGGCGGTTGGTGGGTACCGAAGAACACGTTATTCCAATGGTCGCGGCATATGTTTTGAGGTCATGTTGTGTTGTAGTGTTCAGTTTCTGCTTACTGGTTGAACCTGTGGATCGACTGTCAAGGCTAGAGGTTCCATTCTTCTGGCTGCCGCCCTGAGCCTTGTAGCGCTGAGGCTGTTGATGAGAGAAGAGTCTCGAGAATATGAAGAGAGTTCGTTGCAGAAAACCGCAGATGTCAAAAACCATCCACCAGTTCATAACGGTTCACCCAGCTTGCTTTGCTTGTTTGCTGCTTGTTTACTAAAGTTGCCAGATTCAGCCATGGCTGGTGGTCAAGCAGCTTCGTGAGTGCGTAGGGATCCTGTTCATCAGTTCAGAAGGATCTCTCGAGGCCAACAGACCTTTGTTTGCACTGTTAGGACAATTAGCCTGTTGGACCATTGGATGGTCAAATGATAGGTCTATATATATATATAGACTGGACTTGAAGACTAGGCCTGGTAGTTCTTGGACTTCATAATATAACCTCACTTCTATCCACTGCCCAAAGCAGTGGAAAAGAATCGAGGAAGGCAGATTAAGTTGCTATATAGTGGAGTACCTACTGCGACGATGACTTTTGCTCTTGCTACTTGCAAGAATGTGTTCAAAGGAAGTGGAAGGTAGGCCTTAAGTTGACCTCGACAGCACTGAGGCCTGGGCGTTTGCCCACAGAGGCCGCTGCACTTAGCACTGCAGAGGACCAAAATCAGACTATTCTGCACTTGGAACTTGACGAACCTAGAAACAAAGGATCCCGGCTTCTGCAGGACCTGGACGGCTGGCAGATGATGCCCTTGGGTGTGCCCAAGGCATGTCACTCTTCTCGTATGATTTGGGTGATGGAGGGGTCCCTTAAACAGCGAATTGGAGAGCTCCGCAAGCAGCCATGATCTGGAGGATCTGGATGTTCAGACAAGATTGTACTTGTGGAATCTTGTGGACGTGCTCTCCAAAGCTCTTGCACTTGAGCCAACTAACTGCTGTACGCTGGCAAGAAGAATCACATGATTGGTTTTAAACATTTACATCATTCATCAAAGCAAATGAAGGCCAAAAGTAAGCAGGCCTTTCCCTAAGAAGAACTGCTTTTTCTGGCTTGGATGTGAGACTACAACCTGAAGAAAGCCAAACAAAAGCTAGGGACTCCTTGAAGCACTAGCATACTCATGCTTTAGAAGATTGTCACTTTTTCTGAGCTGATGAGATGGTGCCATGTAGCCTTCGGAAGCCTTTTCATCGTGGCAGCTGAGGCAATGTTGTTTGCAGTGAACAGTTTTTTTTCCATCCACTGTTGCAGAGAACGGGGTATGCCCAACGAACAGTTTCACGCCTTCTTGCCAAAGTCGTTCTTCGGGCGGTGAGCGTACGGGTCTCACGAGTTTCACGAGTCCGAGGAGCCGGTGCCATGCAACTTCAATCTCCTTGGTTCGCGTACGGACGAGTCTTCGCAGCAGGCGTCCGGGAGGCTTCAATTTGCCGATCTTTTGAGGGGATCTGTGCGTCGAACACACGAAGAGGCTCCGAAGAGGTCTGTGTTCGACCAGAAGTGGATACCACAGCGTCAACAGACCTCATGACATCTCACGACTCCAGATCAGCGGTCTTGACCTTGCTCGCCTGGCGGAATGGACTGACCAAGAGAAACCCAAATCTGGTCCATGGAAGGGTCATCGAAGGGCATTCAGCAACCCCCCCAAAAAGAACAATGTCTGAACAAATGTTTTTATATAGCAAGAGTTGTTACCATGTTCATCTTCAAGATGGACCTGTGAGGCTCTGGAGATTTGCCTCTCGCAGATTCTTGAGGGCTTCGGATTGGGAGCGAAGCAGGAAGAGAATGGTCCAGAGCAGCAGACAGTCACCTGCGTAGGCGAAGCGGCGGACTGTTTTCGCTTTTGCATTTTACACTTTGATATTCAGAAGCCGATACGAAATTCACAGTGCCAGGCATCATGAGAGGCTTGGGCTCCCAAGTTGGCTATGGCAACAACACTCGCCGGGTCTGCTGGGAGTCGGCCAACATGAACCTCACCTCCCTGAGCTGTGAGGCTAGCTTTATTTGAGGGACCTCAAAACACTGTTGCGATTTTGTGCTTTAGCACTACCACCAGCAACGAAAGTCTCATAGCCCCATCAGAATCCTTTCAAATCACCTGAGCTGTGCAAGTACTATGCTATACCTGAGTGATCTTAACTGCACCATCCTACTCTCCCTTTGTTCCTTCCCGTTGGTGACTTCCGCAGAAACGCATTCAATGAATTCTTTCGTCTGAGATTATAGCGCATCGCACTGGGGGTTGGAATTCTGAGAGGCACTGAATCATGTCGCTTGGGAGCTGATGATTGCTGGACTTCGTCAATTAGCCCTATGCAGTGGAATCTTTGGGGAGATACCCGTTGACAGTGTGGAGGCACTTTGTTTCTTCAGTGTTTTTGGTAGGAGCGGAGCCTTTGAAGTTCTCTTGATTTCTGGATCAAGAGCACCTACTGACCATGTCGAGGCCATGGCTGACGAGCTGCATGACCTCTCTGGAAGATCCCTTTCTCGTGAATTGGAGATTCACCGGTCAACGCCAATAGGGCTGCTGATTGGTTGCTAGCCTCAATGACTGTGCCCAACGAGTGAGTCGTGTGTGGGATATGGTATTATGAATTCCGTAGTCCTAATGTTTGTTAGACTCACTGGCTTCGAGTTCTCAGAACTTACTCAAAGACCGACTCTATAACACACTGGCAGTTCTGCGCAAATCACACGAAGGGTCACGAAGGGTGCACCTAGCTGTGCTAAAGATCTAGCAATCGCATGAATAGCGTCAGCTTTCCTGCGTCTAGTTACTAGCAGCTACTTACTGTAAGCTGCTATACGGCCTACCCCCCCGGCTTAAAGAACACATATAATACAACAAACAAAGAAGACACACACTTCTTCATTTTTTGTGACATTTTTTGTCGAAGGTGACAAGCTCAAAGAACTGAGAAGTGACCTCCTGCAACCGCTTCAGCCTGAACAGCATAGCCGCCAGGCCAGGTTGCACAGCCGTGACAAACCTGGGTAGCCTTCGGCGCATTTGAAGCCTGCCACAGGTAGTGTCGCGATTGTTGGCCTTCAGCAGGAAAGCCTTTGAGCATACCAACTTCATGGCAGCTTGGTGAGATAAGAGCTGAGCCGGGTTGAGCTAGTCGAGCTCGAATTCTGTACCTGTCCAAGTCCCAAGGTCTGGCGAGATACGCATTTCGTTTGGTTGCAAGACTCCTTAGGAGAGGCCAAATCTGCCATTGGTGTGTGGCATTACAGTTTGTCCATGTTGAGGATATCAGGTGATTGCGTTGGGGGTTCTCGCCAGGGCCAAGTCGTCCATACCGCCTGGGGACCTGCAGATAGTTGGGATGATCTTGGAGCTCACGATGCGCTAGCAGTCCATGCCCTCGTTGGTGGGGCTCAGAGGCCTATGGAGTTTTGGATGGATAGTCGATAGTTCGGCATCACTTGCACGAATACCTTCAGCGGAAGCCCTGGCCTTTGGGGGATAAATCTGGATTGAATTGAATCACTAGTTTGGAGAACAGATTTGGGAGGTGAAACTTCGTGTAATGGATAACTTGCCTCCGAAGAGGAGGACTTAACAAGGGCAAATGCCAAAGGCCCACTGTACTAGTAGATCACCACGAAGTCTTGGGTGGAAGACGAAAACAGTGGATGTTGGGTGGTCATCAATCTGATCGCAGGGCCCCCATCTATGCCTTTGTCAATGAGGGCAGTCAACGACAGGAGTCACGACAGTTCGAGTTTCCAAGGTTTGCAGTTGATTTTGATTGATTAATGTTCTTCGTCGCAGATCACTTGTCGACTTCTAGGACATTTTCGGCAGCCTTTTGCCGCTTGAATGACTCTAATGAGCATCGATTGACTTGTTGATGTGCCGGATTTGCTGGGTTACTCATCCAACTTCGATTTTCCCTCAGGAAGAAGTTGCACGATCAACACGCTCGGCAACTAGCTGTGGTGGAGATAGGCGTTTTCAAAGGAAGCTTGCAAGAGCCTCAGTGCTTGCAGCTACCATCCTGATGTCCTTCCCATTACTTGAACATTAGGATTTGCCAAGTAAGTCACGCTATATAGTGTTTGCAAGTGCAATCAGGAGGTGCGAAAGCATGAAGAAAAGCTATTAGTGCATGAGGTCCAGGTCCATTCTGGAGAAGTACCCCTTTGTACAGCTGCTTGGCAGCTTGGCATCATGAACTACACACAGGTGGATTCAGAGAGTTACTGTCAAAGCCGGTTGTTTTAACTGAAAGTTTAACTTCAGCAAAGGTTTCGACTGTGACTCACATCTCAAAAAGCTAAGCAATTTGTCCAATGTTTAAGGCTTGTCCGTTGGCGTGCACCTCTTCACATCATCTGTGAGCGATCGAGGCGTAGATCCCTACATTGGCAAAGACGGAACCTTCCCTGGTGACTTCTCAGAGACCTTGGATCCAGACATGGCCTTGGCCCAGGCGCCCACAACGGCCATGACACAACATGT